CATAAGAGAGCCAGTTCGGCATGTAAAATCAAAAGTGCCTAAACAGCGCTCCTGAACAATTTTTGCCTCCTATGCAGAAGCTGGGTCCTATTGAAAAGATCATCACCCCTCCTCAAAGTGGCTAGATACCTCAGTAACAGATGGTGCACCGAAATGTCCCTTGGCTCGGTCTAGTATCAAGTTGTATTCCTTTGTAAACAGGCAGTGATGGTGAGCGACCGGTAGTTGAGACCCCGTCCAGACCATGATAAGGTTCGGCTGCTGCTTATGACGAATACTCTTTTCACACTCATTGGCTTCCCCAGAGCCTCAAGTAACATAGGAATCGTTCAGGTACAAATAGGCTCGAAGCGAGATCTGCAATTTTGTGGTATTTTTCACGGGTAGACACTCCTGAGAGGAAACAAACCTACAAGGTAAGTGAGCAGAGGAAAGCTTCGTACCATTATCAGAATTATGAAATGTATTGCATGAATAGCAATTGATATATTTGATCTATTCTGTTCAGGAAACCACGTTGAATCTGTTCCGAGTCAGTAACGACGGTTCATTTTCTGATCTCATTGATGTTCATTTATTTGGCGATGAAATCGCAAACTCGGAAATGGTTCGCGGAGCTATTGAGGTAGGTTTCTAGCTCCATGGGGACAACTAGCCACTCCATCCCGACTCTTCGATAGGAACACTTGTAGACATTAAGACCTGTGTCAGCGATTCGCAAAGTCTGACAGCGCCCTCAAAGAGGCTGATCACCACGCCGATGAATTATATTTTAGCTCAGTGATTGAAGATGACTGAAATGACAGTGCATTCAGTGCTGATCAATCTTTTGAAGATCTGCCAATTTCGCCCAGAATTATGGTGGTCATTTGATTGTGAGTGAGATCTGACCTAACAAAGGTCTGCTGTGGTCGATCAACACCTTTACTCAGCTAGTTCGCCAGAAATTCTCACGCCTTGCTTCACATTCGCTTTTCCAGTACAAAAGCCAGTGCAGCATACAAAAAATAGAAGACAGAGATCATTTGGTCAGTCTGGCCATTCGGAATGAAATGTATAGTACATACGCGCCTCGAGGCATTGAGTTCGAATCAGCCTTCGTTAAGCAGGAAGCGCAGCGCTTAGCGACCATGACCAACAAGCGAGAGGTCGCAGGATTAACTTCAATGGGAGCTGGTACTTTGTTTCTTCGGAAATATAGCTGGAAGCTTTCACAGTTTCCTCAAAAAGAAAAATTTCGGCCTCGTGTGGGAGTCGATTTCACGGCCTTTGATTATGGCTGATGGTTACCAGCGCTGCGCTTTCCTGCTTCATAACTTCTTTCGGGAAATCTTTCCGCAGGAAACGAAAGCAAAAGCGATCGGGTATGCATGCAGTTTTAGGTGTGCATCTCTTCCAAATGGCTGAATAGACCAGATAACCTTTCTTGTAAGTCCAGTTATTAACACAATTGGCGCCCGCGCCGATTTCGGCGTTTGTCACACATGCGTCATTGGCGGTATTGCATGCGCGCATACTCGGCGATGCTTTAATCTCATATGTGGGACATTTCGTGCGTTACCTTAAGGGTCCCACATAGCAGGCTCGTTGGATGGACGCGGGAGCTTTCGTTCCCCTATACAATTATGAGTTTTTCAATTTTTGTTCTAGTTGTTGTTGTTTTAGTTCTTGTTACTACGGTTCATAGGTCCAATAAGTGTTTAGCTTGGTTTCGTACGTATTTCTGCGAGCTAGTAGACGTGTTGATTAGGAAAATTTTCCGATAATAGTTTGTTTTTGATTGCCAAAGAAACTCGAAGTCTGAAGCACAAACTGCATGCAAATTTCGTAATTGATGATAACTTGTTCAGTAGGTAGGCGTATTAGAATCTGATTGTTTGTGTTGAAATTGAAGTTGTCGACATGCCACACGTTCTACGGATTAATGAGACTAACGGAAGTCAATTAGTCAAAGAAGTATTAGGGAAAGGTTCATGGGGGAGCAAAATATAGATGTGCATACCCGGCGATGCACATATGTCAGATGTGGGAGTTTCGACGTGCATACCCGGCGATGCACGCGGGCTGCAACGTGTTAACTCGTGAGGAAATAAAGGCTTGGTTACGCTTATACTTGATTCGATCTGAGAGTTGACCTAGAGACCGTTGTACGCGGGATCGCCTGTCGACTTCGACTAGTAATTGAAAGCATAGAATTACCAAATTTAGCATTTCACTGACCGTCACTATTGACTTCATAGTTAAAAAACTTTCGTTTTTGCTAATTTTTCCGATTCCAGGCAACTTTTCTTATGACAATCGGTTTCCTGTTCCTACTGATTTTTGTTATTATTGTGGTATGGAGACAGGTTACACTTCGCGTCACTCCATTTCTCGGTAAGGCTATCTAAGGTAAGCCATCTATAAATTTTAACCAGTTTACCAGTATGATTCAGTGGCTTCCACCCTGGTAACGCCATTTCTGGCTACAGTTGCCGCCTTCGGACTGTTATCCTGGCTGAAATACCCGATATACTCGATGCAATGTGTCACTCCTTTCCTGGTGCTGGGAATCGGTAGGATTTTATATTCATTCCGGTGAGCAATTGACAGTTGTTTGATTATTTTTGGAGATGGCTTGACGACCATTGGTATGTATTAGGTTGTCTCATAAATAGTGTCGCTTTTTTTCAACCAGAAAATTTTGATCTAAATCCCCATGCTTTTACAGAGAGTTATATACCATTCAAAAGAGAATTGTCTGCTCTACAAAATATCGTGTTCTTCTTCCATCTATGTTCAATGGTTTTCAAATTTGAGGCATGCGAATGGGAGGTCCCGCCGACAAAAATTGACCAAACCGACAACTAGCTCTAACTTTATGTTCCCTTCGGAGAAATCAATCAATGATGTACCCTCTACTTATGCATGACCTCTTCTAAACATTACACTATTAGGTTTCCCAACAAGTCGCATCATTCCATTTCCAGACCCGGTTTTTCAACCAGAACTCGACGGTTGAGCACCATTACCTGAGATCGAGGTCGAAATTTTTTTACAGCCGAGACATTGAAAAACTAGTAGAATTTCAAGAACAAGTCGTGACTAAGTTAGGAATGTACGCCTGGTTGGTTTTCTCATCTCCTCAAGGATAATTTCTTTCAAAGAAATGCGGTCACTTTTGTGGACAAAGCACCTTACTCCTAAACCCTAAAATTCGAGCTAATTCCTAACAAACATCAAAACAAAACAAATGAGCGAATAAAGCAGAAGAAGTGCTCACAAAAGATAAACCAGTTGATATAAAACAATAGCGTTTCAGAGGAAGAATTTCAATTTGAAAATTGCCATGACCTTATCGGTTGGCCAATTCGAAAAGAAACAGGGCAAACCTTTTTCGGCAACCTAAGGGTGGAATGTTCAGAAGAGGTCATGAGTAAGTAGAGGGTACATCATTGATTGATTTCTCCGAAGGGAACATAAAGTTAGAGCTAGTTGTCGGTTTGGTCAATTTTTGTCGGCGGGACCTCCCATTTCGCAGGCCTAAAATTTGAAAACCATGGAACATAGATGGAAGAAGAACACATATTTGTAGAGCAGACAATTCTCTTTCGAATGGTATATGACTCGATGTAAAAGCATGAGGATTTAGATGAAAATTTTTTGGTTGAAAAAAAGCGACACTATTTATGAGACAACCTAATAATATGTCTGATTCTGCTAACGGTTCAAGTTCGGTTCGCGCTTTTCTAACACACCACAAAACGAAAAACGTGAGGTTAAGCTTTCGGACTGAATTTTTTCTGTGAAGAATTTTGTTCCTAGTATTGTTTTATTCTTGTGAGCAATAGTATTTAATAGCGCAAATTAGAAGCTATTCGATCACTTTGAGTGGTAACTGGAGCAGGTGTGATAAATAAGAAATAGGTAGCTTTGAAAATTGGTACTTTTAGTTTTCGATATTATGTAGAAATAGGTTACTTTCATAGTTATGCGGAAAAAGTTTGTAATTCTTGCTTCACGTTATAGCCCCCCCCCCCCCCTATAATTTTGATTAAGAATGGATCTACTTCAGTAATTAGGAGAAAAAGTGACACTTACTTGGCAGGTTGCGGGGACCAGCGTCGATTCATTGTTGCACTTGTACACAAATACTTGTAATACTAACAGCAACACACAATGAAATGGCAGGTTAGCTCATAATTAGGAAGGGGAAGGTTGACTGAAGCAACCTCTAGCAGGATTAGAAAAACCATGCTGTTTCAGCGGCAATGCAAGCGTTTGAATTTGGTGGTGGCAATTGCCACCGCCAGGGCCGAAAGGGTTAAATTTCGTGAAACCCTGTACGTCGTTTTTCCATTCAACCGGTTCATGCATGCATTGCTTCTCATGAATTCGATTCTTTGAGTCGGAACAAATTCGGAGAGAAAGTAATAGATGATATCTTTGTTATAGATGAGTATATGCTCTTTGTTTATCAAGAAACTGGAGTGCTTCCATTCGTTCATATTCATAGACGTAAACAGACACCGTTATGGGGTACAAAATGTTTCATAATATTATATTTACTTGTTAAAGTATAATTATGATTGCGGATGGACACATAGACTAGCTCATAAAGTGTGCGACAAGGATAAGTTAGGTAGGATTTCAGTTTTTCGTGGTTTTTTGAAAGTAATCTTAATTTATTTGCTATTTGTCGGCTATAAGTGTCGATAATAAAAGCAGGGCGGTGAATTTAGGCTGCACCAGGTCTGTGCCTATCGTTGATTACTGTTCGCAAACGGAAAAATTATCGACTACTCCGCCAAAGTGGATTTGATGACGACCCTTTTCCTACCTCCCATCTCCTTTCATAAAACCCGCCATCTTCTCCTCCAAAAGTGCGTCGGCGGGGGGGGTATAAGGTAGATTGGTGAATTTTCTAGTAGGGAGGTATATACGCCCGCTGAAACGGCAAATTTATCCTGCACGCCCTTCACTCGCCTAGCCTACTACCACGAAATCTTAGTTTCACCTCAATCCCACACGTGATTTGAGCGACTAAAGTGGGTACGACCCCCCTCCAAGCTAAACCAAGTACGACCACCCCGTTGTACTTGTACCAACGTAGGGTCTGATGCCACATAGCAATAAAGAAGAGCGCCGTAAAAATACTTGAAAACGATATCTAATGTAATATTTAATATACGATTTGTAGGTGAATAAGCAGTAGGCAGCGAAATGAGAGATTATGGGGGCAAAGATAGAAAGGAACTTCGAGACGAGAGAGAATTCAGATAACAAAGGGACGTACAGTAATTCCAGTCGAACAAAGGGGGATTCAACCGCGGTTACGGCGCGAAACGCGTTCTCTAGGGAAGGTTCTGTGACGGATGGTTTGATAGTTGTCGCATCGTCCATGGCGAGCTCCCTTGTAGTTCCTACCATTTCACTCACGTGCTCTGGGTTTGTGCTTTGAATGAATGATGTATTAGACTCTAACGATTCCTGCGAATGGAACAGAACAAATTGAGACTGGACTGTAGTTGATCGTTGCAAACCAGTGCAAATTACACACAGAATGCGACACAAGGAGAACCCAAGCTGGAAGAGACCCATCTATTGGCACCTGTTGGACATATTTATTACCAGTTGGCGCCGCACGCGTTGCGCGCACAGCACAGTTCTGCGGCGATATAGGATGGTGCAGCGTGAATTTTCGAATTTGGCCCAATACACTTCGAATACTTGACTTTCAAGCTGAATTCTATCCGATTGCCCCATGCTTCATCCACCGATGGCTTTGAGGCTTCCCTCCTTCCTACACCAATTGTCCGTTAATTGTTAACCAAATGTTCGTGTTTTTCCCGCCTCAGACTGCCCCTCCGGACCGATTTATGAACCTCGTGGTAAACTACGCTATTTCTTTGCATGTCCCACCTATCTTTTTCTTCCTCGCCAACCTCTTCCCACTTTTTACCCGATCTCTGAACTATCTCTGAGCCGATTTATAATTTTGGCGGCGAATCCTGCTTTTTGGTGTATCCTCCGCACACCATTAGAAATTCACTTCCTTTCCTTCGCTTTGGAGAATCCGCCACCTCGGAAATGTCCCCACAAACAGTATTGGGCTACATCTTCACCCACCTTATCCCTTTTCCCGGTCTCTGGGACTTCTTGGAACCGTGTTATGAATTTTCCGTCGCAAACTTCCGCCACTTTGGTCATGCCCGCCCACCATTGCAGTTGGGCTCCACTCCTTTACCCACCTCTATCCACCTTTTTCCGGCTCTTAAGACTTCCCCGGCCCGAATTATGAGGACTTGTAGAAAATGCTGTACACTTCAGAGCGCGCCCGCCCATTGTGGGCGGGCCTCCGCCCACGTCATGTATGCAGGAAACACCTTAGACATTGCTCCCCTACACCAATTTGTTTTCTGCTCTGTAGGCTTTCTCCCAACCGAGTTATGAAATTTTTCATAAAGCACTGCTTTTTTGGAGAACGCCCCGCCCACCGGGGGTGGGTCTCCCTAATTCGATGTGACTTACCAATGCACACCTTTACCCACTTTTTGGCCCAGTTTCGAGGTTGTTTTGTCACTGAAATTGAAATCTTGGTCTCAGTACAGTTCATTTCGATGCACGCCACGCCCACTGTGGGCGGGGCTCCGCTTAGCTGATGTGTGTTTTGTACTTCGTGAGACCTTGCCCACCCATCCCACACTTGACCCGGTCCCTCCAGGCGGATCCCGAGGAGCTAGGGAATTTCGTGACAGACATACAGAACGACAGACGACAGACGACAGACGACAGACGAAGCGCTTTATAGTAAGTAGGATAAGGCTGCAGTTTTGAGTACATTATTGAGCCTCGGTGGCAGTCCCAACCACCCCTTCCCGCTCTCCCCGTGCGCTGAGCGGTCTAGTTCACCAATAAGCTCAGTGATATCGTCGAAACTGCAAAGCCCTCCAGCCATCCTGATCGCTGCCTTTAAGAAGCATGCAGCCAAAGATTAGGGACCATTAGAGATTGTGTATTGTTGTTTATCGATTAGTGGGATACGGGTAAGGGTTTTGTCCTTAATAAGAGAACCTCATGTGTTCCAGGAGTTGACGACGCTTTCATACTCATCCACCGTTGGAGGCATCGCTCAGATGTTGCAGACCACTCCACACGGCTAACAAAGGTACGTTTTGCTGAGGGACGATTGTTTTGGTTCAGCTCTACAAGGCATCGGAATTTTTAGTATCTGGTTTATTTGGAAAATTTTGGTTGATTTTTCATTTTAATCTAAAGACTAGATAGTCCTATCACAAAACTCGCCTTTTCGTCTTCGATCTTTCAGTACTCTTCCAGGTGATTGTCGACGTCGGTCCCTCAATCACTATCACATCCTTAACTAACATTATAGCATTTGGCGTTGGATTCTTCACTCCAACACCTCAGGTACTAGCGCCATAATCGCTGTTTACTGCCTTTTTGTAACAGCTCCTGCTTTGCAGATGTCGTTGTTCTGCTTGGCGACGTCAGTGGCACTGTTATTCGACTATATAGTCACATACACGATTTTGGCGCCGGTAGTGTACCTGTGCAGCGAGAAGAACGATTACCAAACCGGCACTACCTTCAAAGCCGTCGCCGAACGACTTCATTGGCAGGGTGAGTAATGCACTTCAGCAGTAAATGTAGGTGCTGTGAGGTGCTCAGAAGGGAAATCTCTAGGTCGACATGCTTACGAGGGGGAATGGACCGGACGCAATACTTTGAAGGCAGCGATTACGATAGATTCTGGAGAGGTTTGAAGGAGAAGTGGGGGTGCTCAATGGTACGCCAATGGCGAAAAAAGCAAAGAAATCCGTCAGAAAATACGCAAAATAGTACCCCTTCAATTGCCCGTTCATCGACCATGAATGAGCGGCGACAAAGAAAGAAGTTGTTTGGACGTGTTAACCCCGATAGCCGCCATCATGCAAGCATAGTGTTTTGAATGCTAAAGGCATTTACATAGAGAAGTTGGAAGATACAGCCGCTAAAAGGGAAATGATTCTCCAAAATGAAAAGCCAACAGCAATCAGCTCGCCCAAGTCACCAACTGAACTAGTGGGCGTAACGCTTCTGGGGCGGAGTGCTTCGGAAGTCCTGCTCAGCAACCAGCGCACCTTTCGTCGTGGGGCGCCACACCTCGCTTCCTGGCAGCCAAGTAACTGCTTCGTGTGGCGCATATGCTCTCCCGATGCGGCCCTTCCTTATCGTAATCGCTTCCTTTAAAGGCACAACCCAGGCAGAGTTCGTGTGAACGCTTCTCTTCGGTCACTAGTATAGAACCCTAGAGGACAATCACAGATGTGGCGTCCTCGTGCACGGAAACCGACCGATAAGAGCGCTTAGGCCTTGCAAAGTAAGCTGCCCAAGCTGCAGACTTTTTTTTTTATCAGGCTGTTGTCTGGCGCTCTCTCATCTGTAGTGCTCTCTCGCCTCATACTCTCCTCTCCGCGCTAGTCTCTCATTCCCTTAGCACAGCCGATCAGGAAGGTGAGTGAGCCCTTAACCTAAGCGTTTTTGACGGATTCTTTTTCCTTTTTTTTACTGCCGGCCCACTTCCCACCAGTACAATCACATTCGTGCACATGGGCCACACCAATGTGATCCTGGGGTAGGCCTTTAAGCACGAAGCCAACTTTGTAAAAAAGGAGGATTACGGATTGGAAATAATTCCAACAAAGAGATTTTGTCAGAGTTGTCTAGATAATGGTCAAGTTTTTTCGATAAGGTCATGCCAGCAGAGCACGATGGTCAATACCTATAGTTAATTAGACTTGGGCTTAGGTTTGCTACGAGCCGATCATAGCTGTTCAATTGCCTAATCGCAAAATTCTATTCTCGAATATTCTGAAGCTGCGTTTCCTCGGTACTCACCTTATTTTGCCCTTCAACAGCGTGACGCAGCGAGCTTTACCCAGAAATTTTTTTAACATGAATTAACGGAGCGCAGATACCTTCATCTCGTCCACTTTCAGTACTCACGCATATTGTGCTCTCTGAATGGCCGTCTGATCTGTGGTGTGTTCCTGATCACTATTTGTCAACAAGCATAGTGTTTTGAATGCTAAGGCATTTACATAGAGAAGTTGGACGATACAGCCGCTAAAAGGGAAATGATTCTCAAAAATGAAAAGCCAACAGCAATCAGCTCGCCCAAGTCACCAACCGAACTAGTGGGCGTAACGCTTCGGGGCGGAGTGCTTCGGAAGTCCCTGCTCAGCAACCAGCGGACCTTTCCGTCTTAGGGGCGCTACACCTCGCTCCCTGGCAGCCAAGTAACTGCTTCCTGTGGCGCATATGCTCTCCCGATGCGGCCCTTCCTTATCGTAATCGCTTCCTCTTAAAGGCACAACCCAGGCAGAGTTCGTGTGAACGCTTCTCTTCGGTCACTAGTATAGAACCCTAGAGGACAATCACAGATGTGGCGTCCTCGTGCACGGAAACCGACCGATAAGAGCGCTTAGGCCTTGCAAAGTAAGCTGCCCAAGCTGCAGACTTTTTTTTTTATCAGGCTGTTGTCTGGCGCTCTCTCATCTGTAGTGCTCTCTCGCCTCATACTCTCCTCTCCGCGCTAGTCTCTCATTCCCTTAGCACAGCCGATCAGGAAGGTGAGTGAGCCCTTAACCTAAGCGTTTTTGACGGATTCTTTTTCCTTTTTTTTACTGCCGGCCCACTTCCCACCAGTACAATCACATTCGTGCACATGGGCCACACCAATGTGATCCTGGGGTAGGCCTTTAAGCACGAAGCCAACTTTGTAAAAAAGGAGGATTACGGATTGGAAATAATTCCAACAAAGAGATTTTGTCAGAGTTGTCTAGATAACGGTCAAATTTTTTCGATAAGGTCATGCCAGCAGAGCACGATGGTCAATACCTGTAGTTAGATTTGGGCTTAGGTTTGCTACGAGCCATCATAGCTGTTCCAATTGCCTAAATCGCAAAATTCTATTCTCGAATATTCTGAAGCTGCGTTCCTCGGTACTCACCTTACTTTTGCCCTTCAACAGCGTGACGCAGCGAGCTTTACACAGAAATTTTTTAACATGAATTAAAGGAGCGCAGATACCTTCATCTCGTCCACTTTAATTACAGTACTCACGCATATTGTGCTCTCTGAATGGCCGTCTGATCTGTGGTGTGTTCCTGATCACTATTTACACGATCTCAGCAATCGGCGTCTACAAGATGAGGCCGACTTTTGAGCCAGCAAAAGCCTTCCCGTCAGATTCGCCACTCGTGAGAAGCCTCAAATCTATCAGGTTGGACATCTAACTTCCTTTCACTGATTCTCACCGACAAAGCTATATATCATATTCTTGAGTAAATTTGGAATGTATTCAGGCCAATATTTGATACGTATTTTCCTGTGACTATTTACGTCAATCATCCGCCGAATATATCCGATGAGGAGCAGGTAGGCAGCTGCTTTATGTCATTTAAGTGATATTCTCCATGTGCGTCGTTTCTCGAAAGCTCGACATTGTGGAATATAATTTCCGATGCAAAATCGCCGTTTCTAAAGGCCTGAAACCGCTCTGAAACATTTCAATTTAGTGATTTTGCGAACTTGTTGTAGGACTTGTGCTCAGAGAGCGGAGATATTGTAGTGGCGAGTGGCGAAACCTTCCAGATGCACGGCACGGGGGTCAAATCCCAGACCGAATCTAGCACAAGCCAACCGAGCCTTTCATCCCTCCGTGACAGTTAATTGGTAACAGAATCGTCTGGGGAGTAAGTACATCGGTTTGCACATCGGGTAGCGCCCGCGAGTCGTTATATTCGTTATTAGGCCATACCGCATTCAAATACTACCACGATTCTGGATGGAAGTAGAATACGTGGCGGATCACGCACGGGATTGATCGAGATCGCAAGCTTTTCTTTGGGCTTTAAACTTTCTATAGATTTGGTGACAACTTCAGCAAAGAGTATATTTAGTCTCTCGTTCACGTTTTGATATGTACGGCTCATTCGGCATTATCAGAACACCCATCTTTGATCGACTAAAACCAGTCCCGGGAATCAAGGTAATTCCGTTCGCGACCTAAAACTTTTTCGCGCAAAAACGAATGCCATTTCACCATGAACTCTGCCCACTCATGACCACATATATCAAAGACAGGCGGTGGTTACCAGTTACCCTTACCTCCCTTGGTTTTTTCTGGGTACGTGATATGGAACACGTGATTGTGGCTGCTTTCTTTGTGAGGACCAATCTGTCAGCGTATGCTCATGAAGAATGAATACGGTTGAAGTGCGCATTTTGGAGCAGCTTAAGCATCACTGTACTGAACTTCCTTAGAGCCTCGAAAGAGTATTCTAAACCTTCCATAGCCGTTGTGCTCCACGAAGAAACCAGCAGTAATTTTTGAAGACTAAAAGAGGGCGACTGGCTGGAATCTCGTGAAGACCAGATTCGATGGAGTTTTGAAGGTGGCGATAACTTCCACAAAAACCAACGTTTTTTCAGCATGCGAGTTTCTATAGAATGGTGTCACAGTTGGAGCAAGTGAAAGGAGCGTACGGCAAAGAGCGGACGATGCTGTTCTTGAACGTCTATGAGAAGTTTGACAAAAAGGTGAGATACCTTTGGTAGACCGACTCTGGCAATAGCTCATTATAGTTCTGTCGTTCAGGTGACAGAAATGACAAGGTCGCTATTTTTGGCCCCTGAAATGGACTACAAACCCAGTCTGCACAATTTGCAGTACTGGCTCGATAAGGTAGGAAATCCACCGTCAATAAAATACGTGAAATCCAACTATACTGGGTGAGTGATTCTCTTCGTCTTTCTTTTCTCGTCATGGATTTCCCATTGAAAACATTGAACAGAGAAGTGCTTCAGCGGTGAGGGCTATCTGAAGGCGTTCTCGTTTGTCATACTCGGCAAAGGAATGGCGGAATGGGCGAACAGAGCGCACTTCGTACACGACATCCGCCAAGTGCTCTCGGAGCATCCGCGATGGAACGCATCATTATTTGACGGCGACTCCGCTGTTCTTGGACTTATTCTTACGGTCAGTTCACAAGTTTTAATCAAACGTTTGACGTTGTCCCATGGGGAACACCTCTTGAACAGTCAGGATCGATTTGATGCAGTAATTCCCCTCGAATACGAAACAAGAGTTGCGAAGTGGAGCACAAGTGAAAAAAGGGAGAACTATTGTCAAAAACAGGGAGACAAATCTTCTGCTCTACCCTGGGGAGAAGTCTAAGAGGCAGACAGCGAAATAAGAGATTATTTAAGTCGCGAAAAGGGGAGAGAACTTCCAGTCGAAAGAGCACAGCTGATTGACCAACACGACACAGAGAAGATATCGAACGGTAGGTGGGTACGGTTCGACCGGGCGTCGGCAGATCGAAATCGTAGGCACCTATTAGTGAGGCATTCGAGATGCTAAGTCGTCGTGACCTCTACATTTAAGGCCCTCCACCCGCGAAGGGCCTCAGTGAGACTGAACCCGACCTTTCCCTTGGCGTGGGTTAAGATCATTAGAGAACAAAAAGAGTGAAAGTTGAGCGTGAGTTGACAAAAAAGACACAGCCAGAGTCAACCCTGCGTTGCGCAGTTCGCAACGGCACGTTGAGAGATCCTCAACGCACGCTGTATGGGCGGAGACACAGACGGCTCGAGCATGCGAGTGTGAATGTTCGCGCGAGAGAACGTGTCTAATCGGGCGAAACTGCGCAACGTGGCCGTTGAGAACTGCGCAACGCAGGGTTGACTCTGCTTGCAGTGCGCGTTTTGATCATTCCCACTTAATCCTCCAAGTCTCACACTTCACCAGAAAATGGATATAAACAAGCGTGCTTACCGCCTCAGCCCTTACAGTATCTGGCCACAGAATTTCCGTGCAAAGTAGTGCTCATTAAGTCGTAGTATAGAACTGACGAAGGGCAAAAAAAGGAAAAGATGGCGAAGGTGGAGTTCCGTTTGGCACTAGTTACAATCGCACCGATTAGAAATTCAAAAAGTCCGTTTAGCTCTAGATTACGCACACGCCTTTAGAGACTGAACAGCTAGAATGCTCTAATATGTATAGCCTTCCTCCTTCCATCAAAATTTTGCTGCTTGTTTCAGGTGGGTCATGATCTGATTGGATCGATAGCAGCTACGGTAGCATGTATGGCTGGAATCTGTCTCCTATTCGTGAACAGTCGCTTGGGTGTGGTTATAATCACCTACCATCAGATCAATTTGGTTTTGATAAGATCACCTCCATAACGTCGGAAATGTTTTTGTTTATCGGTCGTTAACGGGTCTATAATTTTACTAGTACATGACGACGGCAACCGAGCCATTAGAGAGGCTGGCTGGGGCTGAGGCTAACCCCCTTCCTCGGCCGGTGGTATACCAGCATATGGTGCGCCTGACCAGGGGGTCACGGAGTGTGCAGCGGCAATTCTTCCTGGGTGCAAAGATATGAACGTGAAGCCGTTAGCAAACTTTGTCAAAAAAAGGTGCCTGGGTTGACTTGGCCTGAATCAAATTGAAGCCCCTAAACCCTTTGGCGACGCGACGATTCTTCGCGAGTTCATCGCGTTAGACCGCATTCGTAATGCTGGAGCACATATTCACATATACAGGGAAGGGGGGAGGGCGTGGCAAAAAAGGTTACTTAGCCCATGGTGTAAACTTTCCTCTCAAAGGATGTATTAGCTGTTAATGGAAATTTTATGACTTATTCACGCGTGTTTAATAAGCAGAGGAGGCCCTCCTTCACCGCCCTCACCGTTGACCTTCACTGCCCTCGCCGCTGATATGACATGGTTATGACGTCACCTGGTCTCAGGCCGTCGGGCTCAAGTAGGCCTACCGTAATCGCTCCAGTATGAAGCTCCTGCAGGACTTCTCCAATCAGTTCAGTGTGTCAGCTTTCTTAAGACTATAGCTTTGCCTACGAACGACCCCTTTGATGATCACCATACTGGTCCACTATCCGTCGAGGAGGGCGGAAGTGGTGTAGTGGCAAGTGGCGCGCTTACCACGCGAGCGGTCCGGGGATCAAATCCTGGGTCGTGAGTCGCCCGGGCCAACCAAGCCTTCCATCCCTCCGGGGTCGGTTAATTGGTACCAGACTTGTCTGGGAGGATAAAAACACTGACTTCTATAATACATCGGTTGGCCCCAGCAGGCCAAATCGCCCTCAGTTGCCACCACGAATGTACAAATGGTAGTAGTGTCGCATCCCAAGAAGGGATTGATCAACGATAAATGCTTTATCGTTTTTCATCCGTCGAGGACCTCCTTTAGCTCGCACTGTGCAACAGGTTCCCACCAAAATCTCCAGAAGTCAATTTTTTGATGTGGTCTTCAAGTTTCAGTTAGGAGCATTTGGCTTGATTTCAGCAAAGTGTTACTAATTTCGTTCTGAAGAGGAGGAGAGTGACTATTTTTCCTATGCTCCCTGGATACACGGTACACAGCGCAGGGTACCACTGCACTCCTTTTCTCCAACCGAAGCACAACTATCACATAAGCTGGCGAACTTTGCGAGATTGACTGAGTTATTTATAGGTTTGGTCGGTTTATTGTCATGGTGGGGAGCGGATCTCGATCCGGTGACACAAGTGGACGTTCTGCTTGCTACTGGATTCAGGTGGGTGTTTGCCTTATGGTTAGTTCACGGTCTGACTGGAACTGAACTTAACGAACGCGTGTTTTCTTTTCATTTTTCCTTACTAGGGAAATTCAACTTCCCATGGAACTTTGATTGAGACCCAGATCGATAGAGCTTCAAACGCTGATTACAAATATGGAAACTAAAACTGCAAAATGAACCTGCCAAGGAAGTTGTGAGCAGTCAAAGTTGGCTGGAAGTAAAGCGTTACATATGAACCGTGCTGCTCCAGGGCTTTCGGAGTCGCCGTGGAGTAGTGGTAGTACTGCTCAGCGCTCTCCAGCCGGTAGGGTCATGAGTTCTCTTTTAGTTGAAGTGCAAATATCGAGAGCTCTGTATCCACGGCAACTGTAGATGCCCAAAGGGTAGCACGTTTCACATGTAACGGTTTATTTCCAGCCAACTCTGACCGCTCACAATTTCCTTGGCAGGTTCATTTTGCAGTTGTATTAGTTTCCATATTTGTTATCAGCGTTGGAAGCTCTATCGATACACCTGGGTGTTTTTTCAAGGTTCCATAGAACTTGAATGCCTTTCTTGATAAGTTGCCAACATTCCATTCGGAAGATTTTCTCTTTTCTACACTGATCCAAAAATCGCTCTTAGGCAGCTGCAGTTGCTTTACGAAATTCAATCGTTTTAGTGTGGACTACACCGCCCATGTTGCCTACCAGTTCTACCGATCTCATGGCTCAGCGCAGGAGCGACTTACGAATAGTTTGCGCGAAATGGCAGCGCCCATGGTGCAGGTAGGCAGCTAGTCGCGCTACTCAGATAATTGTATTGATAAACATAGTCCGTACCGATAATGTCCTAGGCTGGCCTATCCACGTTCCTGTGTATGCTGCCACTAATTTTCGTGCCCACATACGCAATCAACGCTTTTGCAAAGACAATCTTCATCGTTGTGGGCATAGGTAAGTTGATATTTGTGCATGCAAGCAAAAATGATCAGTGCAGCCGCATATCCCGGTAGTGCCTTTCAGGCACAAAAAATAGCAAAACTGTCCGCCGATTCATTCACGCTTACATTCGCCTTCACTAACCTACCTTTGCTGTGGTTCATTTCCTCCAATTTTTTTCTAGGTTTCACGAAGGGAAAATGCTAAAATTGCTCATCAGGTCATATTCAGCCTGCAACTCTTAGATGGATATCGGCCGACACAATGGTAAACCAGCCGAAGAAGCATGATTTCACTGTAGAGAAACACCACGAGCCTTATGATCCTCGAATTTGTCCAAATGTCCTCTGTCCAAACTTGGAACGTCTTCTCTCATCACAAGAGGACGTCGTGGCATCTCCCATCCCAGCGGTTTCCAAAGAAGGGTTTAGTTTGTGCGAGCAAGCCAGTCCCTGTTAATAGTAAAAAACGAGTCGTTTTTTTAGTATTCAAGAATATATTTTTGGTTCCCGAATAACTATCTCCATCAGGGTCATTTCAAGCGTAAGAACACGGTGAGACCAGCGTGGCTATCCATTTTGCGGAGTTACTGTTACGTTCTTTTTTTAGCGAATTAGAAATGTACGGGGTGAAGGTGATGACCACGGTGGAATCGGGTATTTGGCGGGGGGATCAGAAAAAGAAGGATCGCCATTAGAGAAACGGCATAAATGACAGACGTTTGTTAAAAGGAATAAGAAATACGAAATCAAAAGAGTCCACGAAATAAATCACAGCTCCGACTAACCAGGAAAAGATAGGGTGAAATGCCATATGCAATAGAAACACTTACTGTTGGCATGGGGTTTCGGAACGCTGATATCAAAACCTATGCCTTATCTGCTATCATCGAAAAATTATCCTTCTATTTATAAAGCGCTAACTTTGTGTGTCGGTTTGTGTATCTGTATGTGTGTGTGTGTGTGTGTGTGTGTGTATGTATGTATGTGTGTCCGTCCGCAAAATGAAGTGAGTGAGAAGGAAGCTCATGGGATAAACAAACCGCTAACAAATCGGGTAGCTTACAGGATTTGAGATATCAATGTTTTGTAGCAGGATAGTTGTGATAACACTCTTAGGGCTATATAAACACCTGCTTAGCACACTTCCGTTCATTCCACATGGTGCTGCAGTGGCAGCTGGAGGGCAGTGGAGAGAGGAAGGGAGGATGAGGAAGGGAAGCGAAAAATCTACCGTCATATCATGATTGTGTCCCTTCTACTGTATGAAACACCATTGTGTTGCATACGCGTCACTTCCAGGAGGTGTTGGTGTCACAGGAGGAAGGGACCATAGCGGAGGATAGAAAGCTTGCGCAGGAAAGGAAGGTCCCGGCGGTTGACGGGGGACTAATCTGGTAAAAAATAAGCAGCGCTGGTGGTCCAGGCTCACAGGCGAGAGGTCGTAGGATCGATTCCCTGACGGGTTTTCCCTCTCGCCTTCACGGCAACATGATTGGGGAAAGGACCCAACAACGTCACTCGATCAACACTTGCCTATAGTTACCCGTACAAAGAGTTTGCGAGGAGCTGTTTATTCTGTGCCATACAGGTTGTTATGGTGGAACACGTTTATTGGTTAAAACGTGATCAAAGGATACAGAATGATTGCAGACATACTGTGGAAAGCCAGACTGATCGTTTCTCCTGTGTACTGTAATAAGTGCAAGATTGTAGTGGACCACACAAATCAATCCTGCCTTGGTTTCAGGTCTTATACATGGATTATTCGTCCTACCGGTGCTCCTGTCCCTTTCAGTACGATCAGCACCACCTCCGTCTCCACTACCGCTCAAATCCGAACATCTCATTGAACAAGAATTTGAACAGCAATAGCTATGTATGTACTAAGTGTAAATAAACTCTTACCGATCAACGTAGTACTAGTTTGACCCAGAAATTTGACATATTCACGCCAGCGGCAGCCCATGTGGACTGCCAAACAAAAGCGCTCGTAGGACGACGGCAGTCTATACGGACTGCCAGCTAACAATCGCTT